GAGAGAGAGAGAGAGAGAGAGAGACAGAGAGAGACAGAGAGAGAGATAGTTAGTTTTCATTTTCTGGGGCTCACGACTGAATAAGGGCCTCATACTATTACTGTGCTGTTCCTGGCTCCCAAGCCCCTTTCATTATATTTTCTAATAGGTCATTATTTATATAGAGGATAATGGCTTGATATATATATATATATCATCTTTACTGAATTTGTTTCTAACTTTCTTGGTGTATCAGACATATATGATCTTATCATGCTACATATTACGAATTTTGCCTCTTCCTTTCAAATATTGATCTCTCGGGTTTTTACTAACTGTACAAACAAACTCCAAAGCAAGTCAGACATTTATGGTAGTTATAAGTACCCTTTTCTTCCTTTCTTCTTTCTTTCTTTTTTTGAGTCAGGATCGAATTTAGTCTACTTCAGCCTCTACCTTCTGACTCTCTTGCTCTTCCTTCTAAGTGCCGGCACTATAGCCCTGTACCAGCACATCTAGTTCTATGTAGAGTTGGGAACTGAACTCAGGGATTTGTATATAACAGGCAAGCATTTTGCCATCTAAGTTGTATCCCCAGCTCCCCCCCTCCTTTTTTTGTTTTTTTTTTTTTGAGACAGGGTTTCTCTGTGACTTTGGGGTCCCCTTTTCTTTAGTAAGAATGCTTTCAGTGTTTTATCATTGGTCATAATCCTAGTTTTCAACCTGACATTCATATTTTTGCATCAGGCAAATTATTTTTAGTCCTTCTTTATGTGTGTTTGTAAATGCATGTGTGGTAGTCTGAAAAAAAGCGAGCGGCACTATTAGAAGGTATAGCCTTGTTGGAATAGGTATGGTCTTGTTGGAGGAAGTGTCACTGTAGAGGCTGGCTATGAGGTCTCATATATGTGTAAGCCATGCCCAGTGAGACAGACCACTTCCTGTTGCCTCTGCAAGATGCACAACTCAAAACTATCTCTCTCCTGCACCATGTTTGCCTGCGTGCCATCCTGTCCCACCATGATGATAATGGACTAAATCTCTGAACCCTAAGTGTGTCACCCCAATTAAATATTTTTCCCTTTTATAAGAGTTGCTGTGATCATGGTGTCTCTTCACAGCAAATAAAAACCCTAACTAAATTGGGTGGTGGTGGCGCACACCTTTAATCCTAGCACTCGGGAGGCAGAGGCAGGCAGATTTCTGTGAGTTCGAGGCCAGCCTGGTCTAAAAGTTTCCAGGACAGGCTCCAAAGCTACAGAGAAACCCTGTCTTGAAAAACAAAACAAAAACAGCAAAAAGAAACCCTATTTAAGGCAGCGAAGGTGCACACTTGCACTTCTGGAGACTAAACTTGGGGCCTTGTGCATGCTAATCACAAATTCTACCACTGAATTATAATTCTATCCATTTTTTTTTGTTGTTGTTTTCTTCCCCTCTCCCCCTTAAGACAGGGTCTCACTATGTAGCCCTGACTAGCCTGGAACTCACTACACAGATCAGGTTGACTTTCAACTTGTGGCAATCCACCTGCCTCTGCTTTGTAGGTGCTGGGATTATAGCTATGTGCCACCTTACTCAGATTCCTATTTGTGGATCAGCAAGATGGCTTAGTGGGTAAAGGCACTACTGCCAAGCTTGATGGTCTGAGTTCAACCCCAAGAGCTCACACACACATGCACACACACACAAATAAATAATAAATGCAGGAAAGGAAACTTTCAAAAAGAGATTCCCATTTTTCTTTGTGTGTGTGTGTGTGTATGCATGCACATGTTTGTGTTTCCTATATACATGTATGCAGAAGCCAGAAGTGAATGTGGGTATCTTCTACTGCTCTCCTGTCTTGGCTTCGAGAGTCGGCCAGCAAGTTCATAGGATCATCTGTGTCCATCTCCCACAGTGTTGGTAGTTAGAGGTACACGTGGCCATGCCTGGTTTGTATACAGGTCCTAGGGATGTGAACCCAGATCCTCTTGCTTTCATACCAAGTACTCTGACCAACCAGCCATCTCTCCAGGCTCTGACCACTGCTGCTGCCGCCACCAACAACCAACACCACCACCGCCACCACCTTCAGACATGGTCTCACTCCACAGTCCTGGCTGACCTGGAACTCATTACGTAGACCAGGTTGGCCTTGAACTCACTGAACTGTAAGTGAGTTACCCCACTGCCTCGGACTCCTGAGTATATACCAATTTTTAAAGAGTCTAAATGGGCTGGAGAATTGGCTCAGTGGTTAAGAGCCTGGGGGCTCTTCCAGAGGACCTGGATTCAATTCCCAGCACCCACAGAGCAGCTCATAACTCTCTTTAACTCCAGATCCAGAGGATCTGGCACCCTCACAGACATACACGCAGGCAAAATACAAATGCACATAAAATAAAAATAAATAAATTATTAAAGAGTTCTTAAGTTATAAAGGTTGATTACTTTTCTCAGTAATAAAAAAGTTTGCCACCGGGTGGTGGTGACACACACCTTTAATCCCTACACTTGGGAGCCAGAGGCAGGCAGATCTCTGTGAGTTTAAGGCCAGCTTGATCTACAGAGTGAGTTCCAGGACAGCCAGGGCTATTAAACGGAGAAACCCTGCCTTGAAAAACCAAAAAAACTAAAAAATAAAAATAAAAACTTTGCCTTCTAATTTGCACGTCTGTATTATAATACCACCTAATAAATCTTTAAACATTTACTGTGTTTTGTTATACTTTTGATATTCTAAATAGAGTTAACTAGCCCTCTCCCATGTTACCCTGATAACATAAATGTTTTGCCCAATACATCACCTGTAGAATGTCTCTATGTCGCTGCAACGTATGCATCAGTGCTGCGTTCAACGAGGGGACCCCTGCACTGTTGGTATATTCTGCCATTTTATCGTTTACCCCGGTAAGCTAGGAAGAAAAGGAGAAAATATTTTAAAAACCACTAAAAATAACTCAAGTAAATTATATGCCTAAATGTCCTCTTAGCTGACAGTAAGGTAAGACTTAGTCAGCATTTCCCACAAATGGCATCTTCTACAATCTGGATGGCTGCCACTAAAATGCAAGTGGTTGGAGGAAGAACACACCTTGAATGAATAACAATAAACAACATATCCAACAATGGCAAACTAGTTGTTTACCCAAAAGCACTTACTCTTGCCAAAAGCTGTTCAATTTCAATTGCCATCGTCTCAAACATTCTGTCTTGACTTGATCCATTTAAGAGGGGCGTTGTGTCTGAACTAAAGAGAAGTTTAATTTAAAAATCCATTACTTAGTGTTTAAAACAGCCTTAAAATAAGACAATAATTTTTCTTCAAGAGGTCAAATGAACCCTGAAACATTTCTTCTACTTCTTTTAAGATTATGCTTTTACGGTCAGCAAGATGACTCTGTGGCTAAAGGTGCCTGCAGCCAGCCTGATGCTCCGAGTTCAATTCCTGGAATCCACATGGTAAGAGAGACCTGACTCTTCCTAGAAGTTGTCCCCTGCCAGTGCACACTCTAGCCCCTCTACATAATTAAGTGCAATCTTAAAAAATTTAACTATGATTCACTTTTCTTTTTAAAAGTATCCCACGTGTCCTAAAAATACGAATGACTATAAAGACATTTCAAATGCTACGAACTATTCCCCAAATGATAGAAAACAGTCTAAGCAACTAAAATTCTGAATCTGAAATAACAAATAATGGGAAAGAAGCCAAAAACTCCTTCAAATAGTGAAGAAAAAAATGGATTATAGATCCCATTTGGGGCCTGTGAAAAATAACCTTTAGTTTTTCTCCAAAATTATAGTTTCTTATGCCTTTAAATTCTCTCTTCCTGGCCGGGCGGTGGTGGCGCACACCTTTAATCCCAGCACTCGGTAGGCAGAGGCAGGCGGATCTCTGTGAGTTTGAGGCCAGCCTGGTCTACAAGAGTTAGTTCCAGGACAGGAACCAAAAGCTATGGAGAAACCCTGTCTCTAAAATAAAAAAAAAAAAAAAAAATTCTCTCTTCCTCTAGAGACTCCGAATAAGAAATATAGTGAGATTTGAGATTTAAATGACCCGGTTAGACAAGCAATTATCAAGGAGTCAGGAGTGAGCACACAGGCCCACAGAGCCCCAGGTAGCGCACTGCCGCACAGGCTCCACACCTCCACACAGCATGCATGCACCTCAGCCTATTTCACAGGAGCGTCTTTAACGCCTTTTGGTATCACAACAGTCAGTCAGAATCTGACTCTTCTGCAGATGAAAGATGTTTGGCAGACTCCAATTTTAAAATCACATATCCTGAGAGTTTCATTTACCTCTCTGAAAAACCAGTCCCTTTTATCAGGAGCCCACATATGCGCCTTACTACAGACAAGTTATTCTTCACACAAATAAAATAGATTACATTCTCCACCCTTAGTGAAGACCCTTTCCTGCCCTTGTATAGCATTCGGATGTGCCAACTCAAAGACTACATCATCAATTCATCGTCAAAGAGAACCTTAGCCTCCACTGCTCCCGATTCACATTCACAACAAAAACAATCAGTGAAATAGCCAAAAAATGGCTAATAAGAACCTTTTAGTCAGTGATGGCGGCACACGCCTTTAATCCCAGCACTGGAAGGTGGAGGCAGGCCAATTTCTGTGAATTTGAGGCCAGCCTGGTCTACAGAGCAGGTTCCAGGACAGGATCCAAAGCTACACAGAGAAACCCTGTCTTGAAAAACCAAAATGGAAAAAAAAAAGAATTTTAAAAAAGATTGTTTATTTTACATTATTTATGGGTACGTTTGTTTGCCTACGTGAGTTTATGTGTATCATGTGCATGTAGGAGCCAGAAGAGAACAAAAGAGGGCATCAGATTTCCTGAACGTGCAGTTACAGGCAGTTGTGAGCATTCCATGTAGTTGCTGAGCATCAAACCTGGGTACTCTGTAAGAGCAGAAAGAGTGCACAGCTGCTGAGCATCTCTCCAGCCCCAGACTGTTACCTCTTAAAGACAGATGCTTGCTTTGTATACATAGGCCAAGCCAGCCTGGAACTTGTGATCTTTCTGCTCTATTCTCTAAGTGCTGGGATTATGCCTGGCTTTAATAAGGATTCTTACTTTAGACCTTTAACTAGGTCTTAAGCCTTATTTGTTCTATAAATATTCCCATTTAAATGCCTTGCAACATGACATAAAAATACCTAGTTCTTAGTCAGGCATGGCGGCATACATCTGTAATTTCAGCATTTGGGAGGCCAAGACAGGAAGGTGAGAGGGTTGAGTCCAGCTTGGGCTACACAGTGATAAAAGGGGTGGTGTGGAGGTTGGGATCATTTCTTTACTGTGCCACAGCTAAGACAAGGTTGTGAAGGTTTCTCCTAGAATGTGCAACCACCAAAAAGCTGTTTCTCACTGATATACCCCCCACCCCCACCACATACATTTAAAAGAACAGTGGGCCCATAGACATCAGGGAAGGAAACTGCCCCTGCCTTTTTTATGGCCACATGCCTAACACCTGGCAAATGTTGACTGTTTACTGTTCTTTAAATATTTGTTGAATGAATGAGTAACAGGGCAATCTCTACTATGGGATATCCCATATTCATCATTCTTAGGACAGTATAGAAGTCCAGGTCAAAACCTTGTTCTCTACAATATTAGGATTCAGTTAAATCTAATTCACTTGGGGGCTGGAGAGATGGCTCAGAGTTAAGAGCACTGGCTGCTCTTCCAGAGGTCCTGAGTTCAATTCCCAGCAACCACATGGTGGCTCACAGCCATCTGTAATGAGGTCTGTTCTGGCCTGCACACACACTCACAGACAGAATATTGTATACATAATAAATAAATAAATCTTTAAAAAAAAATCTAATTCACTTGATAATGTGTGATGATCCACAGACCTTCTGATTCTCAACATATAGAAAAACAAAGCAAAAACAAACAAAATAACCCAAGACTCCCCAAAACAATAATAACACCAAACAAAACAAAACAAAACCCAAGCTTCGTAAAGAAAAGTTCTGGTGATTGCTGACTATTCATGTGGCATGCTTCCCATCTGGGCTTCAACCCAAAGCCTCAGCATGCACAGTCATCTTTAGTTTCCAGTGCTGGGGTCACAGGCAGGGCCTCACAGCCACCAGGCACGTCCCTGCCATAGAGCTCCAGCCTCAGCCTGTGTCCTCACAGCCCCAGGTTCTCTGGCAAACGCACAATCATTCCCAGTCTGTAGCTGAACTCAGAATGTTTCTTTTAAAGAGAATCCAAGCAGAGACACCGAAAAAGCACCCTGCAATAGTACTTCCTGACAGACTTGAGTTTTCAAATTGTATACTCATTAGCAAAACCAACTCATGCTTTAAATCTGGGAAAAAGCTTTCTGAAGAAAAATTTATTTATTGAAAAAAAATCCTCACTCTCCTTACTTGATGAGTGAATGTGCAAAGCAATGTCTTGCACTGGAGTCCATGGGCATGCTCCTAACATTTTTAGGTCCCAAAATCAACACACCAGCCTTGTTAACTTTGCAGGCCATGTCCTTAAGAAAGAGGAGCGTCCTGCATTAGATTCATTCTAAAAGAATAAATACCTGAAAAACAGTTTGTATGTTTTGCATTTAGGTAACTCCTCAGTTCCATTCAGAAATTAGAAAACAATATCAGCCAGGTGGTGGTGGAACACTCCTTTAATCTCAGTATTGGGGAGGCAGAGGCAGGCAGGTCTGTGAGTTCGAAGCCAGCTTGGTCTACAGAGTAAGTTCAAGGACAGCCAGGACTACACAAAGAAACCTTGTCTTGAAAAACAAAAGTAAACAAAAGCAAAACAAAATCTTTGTGAGGAAATCAGACATTTCTGTGGACTGAAACGTCTTTGGATTTGTCGTGGAGCCCACAGTGAGTGTGCAATTGTGTGTCTTCTATCTCAGCCTCCAAGTGCTGGGATAACAGGTGTACAGGCCTGGCATCAAAACCATCATTAATATAAACTCATTTTTAAACTCTAGAAGTTTCTGAGCTATCACTATCTTCGCCTAAAGATCGTTTGTTTCAAGAATTAGAATTTTTATAAAACACCTCCCCCAAGACAATAACAAAGAAATTAAAACATCAACAATTCACCAGCAGACCAGGTCAGAGAGCTCTGTATTTCAGTTTACTTTAAAAGCATCATCTAGTTGAAGGTAAAGAGAAGCCGGTAGTACCTATACCTATCGCGTCCTCCATCCCGGGCGCTGCTGTGACTGTAACTCGTGCACAGTTTGCTGAAGGAAACTAGTTTCAGGTCAAGTTCATTTTCCAGCTGTCGAGCTTGTTTCCTGAGATCTTCAAGGAAATTATAAAAACAAATTATTTTCCACCAACAGACATTAAAAATCACAAGACTATTTTGGAGAAAGCCAACTATCATGTATTGATCTCTGATCTACTTCCCCTGAAACTTAGGACTTACCCAAGAAAGTAAATTAGTCCCGTAGTTAAGCTTCAGACAGGAGCACTAAGGGAAGCAGTGGTGGGAGACACACAACCTGCCACCAACCAATGCCCTGACATGTCTGAGATTACCTTTACAGCAATAACCCAAAGTTGTAACTTGAAGGAAAACAAGAAGAGAATATAAAGCCCGAAGAAACGAAAATGGTTACGACCAGCAGATCAATTCACCAGCTAACTGGATAAGATGTCTGCATTCATTTCGAAAGAATTTTCTTTTTACATTTCACAGCTTTGTTAGGACTTTGGGATTCTTTTCGTACAGGTAAAATACCTTAACAAACACACAAAAGAGCAAATCAACAAAAAATTAAAAATTGCTCTTCAAAAACACTGGGGGAAAATAGAGGCTAAAAACGATGCACCATGAATAGGACAAAATACAAATGTGACAGGTGTTTTATAAGCATATGTCTTAAAAGTAGAAGCAAACGGGCTGGCTGAAAGGAGCCATACCGGGAAACTCCTAGACATATCTGAGTGTTCAGGACTGAAATACAGGCAGGGATAAGGTGAGAATGTCTCAGGACTAAAGAACACTGAGGCAATGAAAGGCAGGAAGTGAAGTTGGAGTAATCTACCCAGAGACCAAATCCCACTTCGAATGCCGGCTCGGTCCCCTACTGCCTTTGAGATTAACTGACGATTCAGTTCATCTAAAAACTTTAGCTCTCAGTTTTTAAACCTCTAACCTCCAGGGTTTTCCATACATGCTTAAAGCATCTGGCACAAGGTATACTGCCAATAACGGCTTGCTCTAATTATTACAACACAGTGATTCATAGCCTAACGACTATCAAAGATACCAGCAGCCACTTATACATAATTTAAAGGTAAACCTTAGCTACGGTAAGGGCATTTAAAATACGTCTAGGCATGTTTCTCTGTAACGCTCGCTAATTTTTGTCTAATAGGAAACATTTTGTCTAGTAGAAAGCATTTTGAAAATATGGCAGACTGGAACTTAAAATTCAGTCACCAAGTGGTTGATGGTGACAATGCCATACTTTGCGGGGGCTTGATTGCTCGCAAAGAGGAAATAGGTTTAAAAAAAAAGTAAAGCAGCAAACAGTTAAATGAAAAGGTGAAGCCATTTCTGATCTTTGTGGCTCGTCGTGGTCTAGGAATGTTTTATATGACCTCACTTGATTAGAGTAGATTTTCAGGAATTAAATAACAACAACCCTAATGATCTCTCGGCCGGAGGAAAGCAAATTTATCAATTAGAATCTTTGATCATTTTAACAAAACTGATCTCGGACTCCGGAACAGACGGTAGTTATTTTCAGCATTCTGTCACCCAATCTTCGATGAAGTCTCGTTCTTAAATTGCCAATAGGGGTCCAGGAGGAGACGTTCCACGGCCAATGTCTGGGAGCCCCCCAAGGCCGGGACTCACAAGCTCCTCCCTCACTCCTAGTTTTCTGACAGTGGCCGCAACTCCAAGGCTCCGACTACTCGTCTTCCGGGGTCTGGAGCTTCTGGCTCAGCACTCGTCTTCTCGCAAGAGTTCGTCCCCAAAGTCCCATCGCAGAGTCTCACCACCCCTCCGACGGGTCCACCCGGAGCCCCGGGCGCCTCTTCCTTTCCACCCCGGCTCCCTCCACTCGGCCCAACCCCTTCCCAGATCCGGTTCTCTCCGCCCCAGCCCCTTCCTCAAGTTCCCAGGCCCGGGGCTCCTCTCGGACAACCTCATCCCGCAGCATGGCCGTTCCTGAGGTCTGTCTCTTCCCTCTGCTGTCTCCCTCAAGACCCAGCCTCACTCTATCCCCTCAGCGCCTGGCGGGACCCACCCGGAGGCCTTGCCCTCACCTTCCCAGTAATTGCTGGTTCCCGCCGCCATCTTTGTTGCCCAACGTCAGTCGGGACAGGAGAGTAGAGGCGTGGCGGGCCAGAGAGTCACCTCCACGCCTTCTTCCAGCCAGAGCGCCAGGGCTGATGGGATACGCGAGTCTCCGCAGATACCGTCACCTGGTGGACAGTTTGCTGTTTTACAGCTTTAAGTGGCACGGTTGAAAACTTGGGTTTAGCTTGCCTGAAAGTCTCTGTTCTGCGTGTTCATACCATCTTTCTGCGGCCTCAGTCTGCGAGTCGTTCGTCTAGGCGTGTTCCTCCTTTCAGCAGGTGACCGAGAGGAGAGACACAGTTTCCCTCATGTCCCCTTAAATAAGATGTTTTGGGACTTGGAGGGTGTAGCTTAGTGTGTGAGGTACCTGCCTAAATGTTCTGGGTTCGATCCCCGGCACTCCATAAACAGAACGAGCTGGCACATGCCTTCAATCCTAGTACTCGTGTGAGGAGAGGAGGATCCGAAATTTAATGTCATCCACGGCTACGTAGGGAGTTCGCGGCTAGGAATAAATGGAACCCTGTCTCAAGAAGAAGAAAGAGAGAGAGGGAAAAAAGGAGTGAGGAGGAGAGAGAGAGAGAAAAGGAGAGGGGGGGAGAGAGAGAGAGAGAGAGAGAGAGAGAGAGAGAGAGAGAGAGAGATTATCTCGGTCAGCATTTCCCATTTTCCTTTCTCGGAGCTAGCTGCTCTCTTCCTCATCCTACCTCCACTTGTGCCCGCCCGTCCTTCACTCTCCAGCACGCCAGTCTTTCTCCACTGTCTGTTGTCCTTATGTCTACAGCAGCGCCTCGGCCCTCTTTCCTTCCTAGTCAGCAAGGGTGTGCTGTTTCCCTTGCCTTCCCTAATATGCCCACAACTTGAAGCTCTTTGCTGATTTGGTTAGATTAGCTGGCCTGCAAGCCCCAGGTCTGCTCCCAGTGTTGGAATTACAGACCTAGCAGCTATGCCTAACTTCAGGTTTGTGCTAGGGATCTGAACTCACATCCTAATGCTTGTATGCTAAGCCCTTTACCGGCTGAATATAATATGCATTTTATTAATAAATTGTAATGTGTTGTCTAAGTTCATTGACAAGCTGGCTGTGGATATAGGGTTGCCACCCCCACCCCCACACATACACACACTGCATACCCGAGCTTGTCTCTCTAAGTGTCTCACAAGATTTCCTGTCTGAGGATGGGCGGGCTGGCTGACCCTGTGAGAAAGGAGAAGTAGAAGAGCAAACCGGCCCAAAGAGTAAAAATACCATGTGCATAAGAACCGAAGTAGGTAAAGTGTTTGAGTCTAAACAGTGTGTCCTCCGTCACAGCTGGAAGGCCAATCATTCCCGACAGCAAGATGGCTGTGGTGGGGACGGCTCTGAAAGACCCTTGAAGAGGACTTTCTCTCAGGAGGAGACCTCCCTGCTGCCAAGGAACAGGCCGAGACCAGAGACCATACGGATGCAAATCGCAAGAGGTTTATTGGGCAAACACAGGTACCTTCGGGCTGCAAGTCTTTCGGAGGACTTGCTTGCCTGCCAACTGGAGGGCGGGTTTTTTATAGAGAAGAGCAAAAAGCAAGTTTACAGAAGCAAAAGCGTGGTTATCGGAATGAGGCTGGGGCATGAATGGTTTCCTCTCTCAGCATGGGTGTCAGCAAAAGTCATCCTGTTCCTATCTTATAGATATCCTGTTTTGCAGTCAACCTGCTTTGTTGATGTCCTATCTTATTGATATCCTGCCTTGCAGTCTTCCTATCTCATCCTGCTCTCTCAAGCAGGCTTACGAGAGCAGGCTGGCTGCTGCGGGTTTGGAGGAGGGGGTCTGTAGGGTCTTTCAGGCTCATCTGCAGTCTCACCTACTAGAAGACATTCTTCCTGGAGCCCTCATGTGGATCAGAGGCCTCATGACTGTTTCTGTTCTCCAGGCTTCCCCATGGCTTTCTATTGGATGACACATAAGTGTCTGCCTCCTTCCTGTTTGACTGTTTCCTTCTTTTTCTTCTGCTTGCTGCCTACCTAAAAAGCGCATTCATTTGAGAGCAGCCTGGCTATTCAGGTCATTCTTCCCACAGAACACCGAGTCCTCTCCCCAGGGCCCTCAGTACTCATTTTAAAAAATCTATTTCCAGAGTTTTAAACCAGAACTTAGAGTTGTTCTGGTTGGAGAATAGCCACTGTTCTATCTTCAAGCTGATTGACAAACAAGTGGGTCCTTCCTTTGCCTCCCCATGTTGCTGCTGAGCCCCTTTGGTGAGCTTGTTTCAGTTACTGAATTTTTCAGATCTGAAAACTTGCACTCACTTCTTCATGTTCTTTTCTTTGTGCAAACTGTTTCCTGCTGAGACTCTGTTTAAAAACCTTTGTTACAAGTTTGTTTATAGCTGGGTGTGCTGGGGCTCACCTTTAATCCCAGTGCTTGGGAGGCAAAGGCAAGTAGATCTCTGTGAGTCTGAGGATGACCTACCTGGCTTACATAGTGAGTTCCAGGACAGCCAGGGCTATATAGAGAGACTCTATCTCAAAGAACAACAACAAAACAAAACAAGCAAAATTATTTTTAAAAAGTTTGTTCATAAATGCTCACCAAATTATTTTCATCTCAGGCGTTTTTAAATACTTGTCAGATAATTCCAACATTTAGATGTTGGAGTTCATTGGCTGTGCTTTTTCATTAGCTAAAATTTCCTGGGGTCTTGGCATATGAGTGATATCTATCTATCTATCTATGTTTGTGTCTTGAGTATCTCAGGGCAGGGGACGATGGATCAGTGGGTAAAGTGCCTACCATGCAAACATGAGGACATTGGTTCAAATCCCCTGTATCCATACACACATGTTAAAAATAAATAAGCCAGGAACAGCAGATTGAATCTGACTCTAGTGGTAGACTGGGGAGATGGCCAGATTGCAGGAGCTCATTGCTCCCCCCCCCCCAGCCTAAGGGAATCTGTGAAGCTCCAGGTGCAGTGGAAGACCCCGTCTCAAAATAAGGTAATGAGTGATTGATGAGGACACAGAGCATACATTTCAGGCCTATACATGCACACAAATGCATGCTTACCTGCATATGCATATGCACACACACATAAATGTATTACACACACAAGATAGAAAATAAAAATTAAAAATGTATTGTGGATATTTTAGGTATGATAGGTACATGGTTTGAATGTGGAATGTCCCCCACAGGGTCATTTATTTGAACACTTGGTCTCCAGCTGGTGGTGCTATTTAGGTTGTGGAACCCTTTAGGAGGTGGAGTCTTGCTGCAGGAAATGGGCCTTGAGGTTTCAAACCCCACTTCCTGTTCATTCTCTGCTTTCTAAGAACAAATGCATGTGGTAGACAGCCTCCTACTCCTGTTGTGATGCCTTCCCTGCCCTCTGCATGTCTTCCTCACCGTGAAGGACTGTGTCCCCCCGGAACTGTAAGCCAAAATTACCCTTTCTCCCTTAAGTAGCTTTTGTTGAGAGCAGTTTACTATGGCAACGAGAAAGAAGCTAAGACAAGACTCCAGATCCTATTCCCATCTTTGGTGTAAGCAGATGTCTCTGACACTGTACTGGTGGCGAGGCTGGGACTTGCATTGATCCTTCGAGATAGGAGCTGAAGTTCTGGTTTTCCAGGTTGGGGGAGTGCCTTTTTACTGCTCCCCATGTGGCCAAATGACCCCTTCTTAGGGGTCACATATCAGATATCCTGCATACCAGATAATTATTTTATAATTCTTAACAGTAGCAAATTACAGTTATGAAGTAGCAACAAAACAATTTTATGGATGGGGGTCACCATAACATGAAGGACTGTACTAGAGGGTTGCAGCATTAGGAAGGCTGAGAACCACTGCTCTAGAGGGTTTCTTTTTTTTTTCTTTTCTTTTTTTGTTTTTTTTTTTTTTTTGTTTTTTGTTTTTTGAAACAGGGTTTCTCTGTGGCTTTGGAGCCTGTCCTGGAACTAGTTCTGTAGACCAGGCTGGTCTCGAACTCACAGAGATCCGCCTGCCTCTGCCTCCCGAGTGCTGGGATTAAAGGCGTGTGCCACCACCGCCCTGCTTTAGAGGGTTTCTTGTCTGTACCTTTTGCCATTTATGGTGAGATGTAGATATATAAAACCAAAAATACCCACCCCCAGGGAACTCACGTGCATCTTGCTCTTTAGATCCTGAGGGTCTCTAGCCTCTGACGTCTTTCTTCCTTCCGAAGTCTAATTATTCTGTACACAGTCTTTAGCTTTCACTGTCCCTAGCAAGAAGAATAGAAACATGTCTATCTTGTCCAAAAATGAAGTTTTCCAGTTAGATTTAAATTTTCTGCACTAGTTCATTTCATCTCTTTATCTTATCTACAGTCTTGGATGTATTCATTGCCACCATTTTAATAATGGTTAATTGATACCTCCCACAGGACTACTGATATTTCTCTGGGAAAATAATGAAATTTATTTACATTTCACCTTGATAAGTCACAACACAATGCATTTCACTCTGTGGAAAGTTTTATTAGAAATACATTCTGTGCTTAAGAAAGAAAACAAGCCTTTGGTTTTACTGGTGAGGTGGGTGTGCGCTTTTTGGGTCCCTCAAGTGAAGGTTTGGGTCAGACTTCCTTCCCAACTCTACTAGATGATCTCAATTCAGGGAAGTCTGGGGGACCTTATTGCAGAAATTGTAGGTAAGAAATATACCTTAACATTTGAGTCTTTAAAGTAATAACATGTTAGGAAAAATTCATTTTCTCTAAATGAGCCCATGTTCACTAGTTACTAGGCCTCTGAGCTTGCTCTCCCCGGGTAGGTTCCCAGGACGAGGCCCCCTTCTTCCCACGGCAGCTGTGCACAAGCCTAAAGTCCACTATCACTTCAGACCTCAGACAAAGACCAGAGGAAAACTTCCATATTCAGACTAGAGATACGTGACATGGAGGAGTGAACCAGGAGCTGGGGGGGGGGGGGAATGCCCGTGGACAAAGTGCTGTGCAAGTGTAAGGACTTGAGTTCAGATTCTCAGCACTCACATAGATGCCAGGCAAGGGTGGTTGCTCACCTGTAATCCCAGCACTAGGGAGGCAGAGATAGGAGATCTCTGAAGCAAGCTGACTGGCTAGGCTATGAGCTTTGCTCAAGTGAGAGAATGTGGAGTGTAGTGAGGAAGAGACTTGACAGGAACCTCTAGTGCACACATGCATACACACATGTGTAGGTATGCCCCCACACACGCAAACATGCATATATACACACAAAGATATCCCACCAACATAGGCATGCAATAAAGAAGAATGAACCCAAATCCATGGTATTTTTTGGTGAGTTAGAGGATCTGCTCCTACAGACTGGGCCAACATCTTAGTCTCAGATTTGCTGCTATTAGTGGACATGCCGAACTGCAGATTTCTTGAGGTAGACAGCTTTTCTTAAATGCCCAGAAATGTGCCATGACTTCCCAACTGAGTGTCTTCTTGGAAGAGAGAACAGGGTATTGACACTGGGTTTCCTAAAGTCTTGGTCTGCATCGAAAGGCAGGGGCTACAAAACAGGTGTACACATAGACACCAGGTTGTATGGACACCATGTCTGACAAGAAAGCAGTGCTCAGGTTAATCTAATTTATCAAGTAGAAGATAGGGAAGCCTCTAAACTCTCCCTCTTTAGCCGATTAGAAGGTTCCTTTTCATGCTTCAGAATGAGTGTATAAGCAGACTTCCTGTAGAAAGGTAAAAACACTTTTTCACTTTTCAGGTGAAAACATCCAAAAACACCTCATTAATTCGGAAATGAGAAACAAAAAGCTATTCCACCACCAGTACTTCCTTTATAAGATGCTCTGCCCCACTTACATATGACACAGGCATTTATACTCCTCTAACATAGAATTACCTCCATTAAGTGTGTGTAGCATCATTACATTGCAGGTGTTTAGTACAGAGCCAGTTATTCTAAGGGTGTGCAAGAGGTTTAGAAAAATATCTCTAATCAAAGCTCCCAGCACCAGATCATGCAGAACTCAGAATGTTTGCCACCAGAGAGCTCTCGGCATGTTTCTTTGGATGTGCCAAAGACCCACAGCAGGCAGCTGGGCAGCACAGAGGTGTGCCAGCCCCAACAGGAGCTTTGCTGTCAACACACTCACAGTTCTTGCAAAGAGAGGAGACACTGCTGGACTGTGCCATTGAGGACCCAGGAAAGGCCTGACCTGGCTTAGAGGACCTGAGAAATGAAGACTGGTCAGGGGGAATGAATGGGAAACGACTTAGGGTTTCTATTGTTATGAAGAGACAATCATGGCCACAGCAACATAATCTTATAAAACATTTAATGGGGTGGCTTACAGTTCAGGGGTTTAGTCCATTGTCATCATGGTGGGACATGGTGGCATGCAGGGAGACATGGTGCTAGATAAAGAACTGAGAGTTCTTCATGTTGATCTGCAAGCACAGGAAGTGAACTCTGTCACTGAGTGTAGCTTGAGCATAGGAGACCTCAAGCCCACGTCCGCAGTG